CCCTAAAGTCAGGTACGTGCAATTGGTACGTGCCCGTAGACTGTCCGCCAATGGATGCTAAAATAAGTCACGTGATTGGTTAGCTAAATAAAAATATTTAGATACTCAGAATTTTGAAACAAGAATAAGTTTGATCTTTTATATAGGTATTGGTGTATCTTATGCTTAATATGTTTTGACCAAATGGTTATTTTTGCTATAATTTGTAATTGGTAAGACATTTAACATTACGCGTTACTAAATATAACCCATTTCTTTGCTTAATATCCTGTAAAGCGGAGTTTCGTTTTGTAAAATGAAAATAGCATAAATTAAAACAAATATGAATTAATTATCTCCTTATTTGAATAGGCACATTTATCATTGAACAAAGCCTTTTGCAATAGCGCGCGAAGAATTGAAAACTTTGTATATATCTTAGCAGTAGATAAATTTCCGTTTATTTTTTTTCATGTGAAAAATTCCTTAAAAAATTATAATACCTAATAACACCCCCGAAACGTTATCTTGGGATAATTGGCAACTACCCGATAAATTTAATTTATTCTATAGCCTGTTAATAGAAATTCATTTGATGAGTCTGTGGATACTTTGTTTCTTCAGAATAAGTTTTTTGATTCATTTGATTCTTCAGAATAAGTTTTCTGGACATTTTATTTATTTCACTTGACTTTTCACTTAACTCAGCATTATTTTTTCACTTGGCTCTTCAATTTAAATGAACTTTATTTGCGAATTTTAATTTTCATAATTTTCATGTATCACATGACTTTAATAATAAACTGCGGCAATAATATGGAATTTTTTCTGTCAGTGTATACATATTTCTTAACTCTTTAGATATAAACTTTTTGCATTTGTAAGGACATTGGATATCATAAACATCTTTCAGTCCTTTTGCCAAATATTAATCTAATAGTTGTTCAAAAAATTTGATACGATGGTAAGAAATTTTTTCTGAAAATAATATTAAACATGTGAGTATTTCAATTAATACCACTGAGCAGATTTATTTATAAAATATTGATGTAGATAGAATAGATATAACATCCTAGGGTCTAGGTTATATTGGAGCGATTCAATATTGACATTGTTCATATTTGAATGTAGTTTTATTAAATAAATAAAGCTCACCTATTTTATTTTTTTTTAGATAAAATGACTTCTCGGCGAATTTTGAAAATATAATACACTTGCATATTTTTTTGTTGCTTTGAGCATACAAAAAAATTTCTTTCCAAATGTTTAACAACTTATGAACGGCCACTTAGTTTTCACAAGAAACAATGTAGATTTTGGGCAAGTTTTAACAAAAATACTTCAATGTATATTATGGGCAAGATTTAATTGATTCTAAGCTTATAAATTAACAATTATCCACATTTAAAAATTTTGAGATAGAATTTATTCTTACAAAACATAACTTAGACTTGATAAAAAACATGTGATATGTAGATATAAATTACGTATCAAAATATCTGTATGTTAAATAATCTCAAAATTTTAATTTCCCTTTGCGTCACTCTAATATTGGTTGGTGTTAACGTATATTTCGGCAATAGTCAGTGTTGTTGACTGGAAGCCACTGGAAGGCCACTGGAACTCCACTGGAAGCAAATTAATAATGCCACTAGAACTTTTACTATTACAAACTTCCACTGGAAAACTAGAAATTCCTACTGGAATCAAAAATTAACAACACTAGACAATAGTAGATGCCGAAATAAATCATGTGATTAATTAGCTAAATAACAGAAATATTTAAATTAAAATTCAATTAAATAACTTAAAATTCAATTTGTTGTCTTTAAATTATTCGATTCATGTATGAAGTGCAGTCTATTAATAAATTCCAGTAACTTTGAACTTACGTCAAACACGTGATTCATTCAACAGGTTTTAAAGAGATCGATGAATAAATTTCTAGTAGAAATTCATAGAATTTCATTTGACAGTGTTTAATTTCTAGTAGAATTTCATTCAACAGTTTTTATATAAAGAACGCGCAATCTTTTTATGATTAAATATAATTGATTAAAGTAGTAGGAATGTTTATTTGACAAATAATCGACCAACCAAATTATCAAAGACAGAAGTACTGTATATCGATATGGAATAAATCTTAAAAAATTTTATAAATTATACTCTAATTTATCAATGAAATATTTCTCACTCTGTCATAATATTTTGTAATACATGATATTCATCTAATTTTCTAGAAACCCATTTATTTTGAATGAAATCACTAACTATAAAATAATGATCATAATCACAATATTTTTTTGAAAATTGAAAAAATCTGACTACGTCTAGAAAGTTTATTTCTTTGTGTTTATGGTCACAAAATTTGTAATCGTCTTCGCACGTTTCACACCAAGCTTGTTTTGGTTCTTCTCCTTTTGAATTCAAAAATTCCTTGAAGGCTTTTTGAATTTCAATTTCTGTTATTTTAGAATAAAAATCGTTGTTTAAAAGATTTTTGATATATTTAATTGAATCTTC